TCATGGATTATTCCATAAATCATAAATAAGTCTACCTGTGTTAAGAAGCATTTAAAACTATAGAAACCTGATATCCTACTGTATGAATGGCAAAACTGCACGTCGTTTTGGTGCGTATTGCAATATAATTTTTGGGCCCAGTTATCTTGCCTTTCTTCTTGGAGACAATTAAAGTACAATCGACATGTAAATTAGCACGCATGTTCCTTAGATAATTGCATATCCATTGACGGACTTCCATTGTTGGTCACAATTCCAAGATGGCTGCGATGGCGTGATGTTCGGTACTTGACCGAATTGTATATACATGTATAAAATCGCAATAGTTAACAAGACTTATAGTGGGCCAAAACAACAAGATAGTCTATTAAATGTATGTAAATCAACACCCTCTGCCATTACAGGGCCTTTAATTCTCAAATCGATTCTAATTGGAAAAAATCAAATTTGCTTTGTTGCAAATGGTAACTATGTGGCCACAACATATCATGTGCTAAAATCGTAAGAGGTAACCTTTTCTTTGGATACACGATTTTATAATAAATACATTCATTGTGGATGTAAATATGGTCCCCATAGCCACACAATATCATGTGTTGAAAGCTGGTTTGTGTATCAATCGAGCATGCAAAATTTAGATGTTTCCACCAGCTGGCCAAGACAGAAAAATTAAAGTACATGTAATACAAATGCACATTGTGATAAAAATCCCATTAAAGATGTTACATTACGATTGATAAATTCCATTGAGAGACATAAGCACAGTCAATGATATATCGTAATGTATTATCAAGAAATGTATAATATAATATTACCATTTACATTATTATTGTAGGACAAATAATACATCATTATACTCGATTCTGATTGGTCAAAAAGTGGACAATAAGCCCTCTCTACTATAGCAAGGTGATTTACCGCGTATAAATACTGTTGTGTTTTGGGTTTTTTTTTTTCATTTTTGTGTTCAATGATCTTCAGTGCTTAAATTATTCATTAGAAAAACTCGGGTCTCGTGTTCTAATGATTCCAGCAAGGTTCATGTACAATAAACCCCTTCAAAACAGGAAGTATTTATCTCCTATTATTACAAAACCTTTATAAAGAAGTTGTCTTCCCCAATTTGTTTCAATGACTTTATATACATGTTAACAAAATATCTGAATGACAAAATTATTTTTGTTTTTGAACGAGGATAACTCCTCATTAATTGTAGTCTATCTATCACAAATGATATTGATATTAATTATAGTGCATGTATTACAACAGATATAGAATACATATTACATAAATGGTTTTGATATTAATTATAGTACATGTATTACAACAGATATAAAATATATGTTACATAGATGGTTTTGATATTAATTATAGTGCATGTAATTACAACAGATATAGAATACATATTACATAAATAGTTTTGATATTAATTATAGTACATGTATTATAACAGATATAAAATATTTACATAGATGGTTTTGGTATTAATTATAGTGCATGTATTTACAATAGATATAGAATACATATTACAGAAATGGTATCGATAGTAATTATAGTACATGTATTAAACAGATATAGAATACATATTAAAGACATGGTATTGATTTTATTAGGACTGATATGGAATACATATTAAAGATGAAGACTTCCTATTAAATATAGCGGATGTATTATTACACATAATTTATATTTATATTAACGAAATGATATTAATATTATTTTTAGCATACGTATGACTATGAATATAGAATTAATATTCATAAAATGGCATTGCTATTATTTTTAGCATACGTATCTCTATTGATATAGGATACATATTAAAGAAGTAGACTTGGTATTAATTATAGTATGTATTATTACTATTAAAGAAATGGTATTGATATTAATTATAGTATACTTATCACTATTGATATAGAATTGATATTCATGTGTGCATGAATGTAATTTATTTGGCATACATGACAATCGTACATCTACAGCTAAATGGATATGTCGATTACTACTAGAGGAAATAATGATACCTCGCCATCAACCGGACTACCAGATGAATATGACATCACACGTAATAACCCCATGTATAACAAAACTGAACGTTTTTATTACAAAATGGACCATAAATACCACCAGAATATGCCCCGTTAACTAAACTTGAATTGCAAACTAAAGGAACCCATACAGAGCAACGACACTCAAATATTTGTCTATATTTTTTAAAATGGCAACTAAGCTAAACTTGTTGATTTAACGTGGAATATCGAGTAAACTAAACATTGAAACTCTTCCCCAAACAATTATTGTGACAATCTCAAAGTAGGTGATGTACTTAATATAGGTACATTGTTCCAAGACGATCTAAATTAATTTCACAATTTTATTAATCAGAGGAAAAGAATAATTCGGAAACGCACACCTGTAATAACCTAGGCAACAACTGTAAAAGTTTTAAAATGTCCTCGCCTGACCGGTTGATTTCATAATCTAAGTACAATTATATACAATAAAGCACTTCGTTATTTGTACAATCTGATTAAACATACTTTATGCAAGAGCTAAATCTGCCTATAACAGAGGTCTTTCATTAGGCCTGAGATGTTATATAAACTATCAATTAGACATTTTATGAACAAAACAAGACCATAATCAGCTCTCGATGGCATCAGATACTTGAGATTTTAACTAGATTTGAACGGTTCGCCATTTAAAAATTTAATTTAAAAAAGGGAAAGCAGAAATAAAATGATATGAAATGAAATGGTGTTTAACGTCCTACTGTTCTGCTCCGAACTGGGATAATGAAGACAGGCATACGCCATACAGTGTGCTATGAGGGAAATTTTGCCCGGACAGCGGCACTGCGGCCTACTCTTATATCGAATTCCAACTGTCAAGGGATCTTCTAAGTGCACGCCAATGTGTACACGGGACCTCGGTTTTTCATCCCATCCGAACGTCTAGACAGCTGTCCTTGTCAGGCGCTCTGTCCTGCATCACTGACAAGGACAAGGGGGAACCACGCCGGAAAATCTGGATGAACTTTCTCGACCAATGCAGGAATCGAACACCCGATCTCCAGGCTAGCGAGCCAGCGTCTTACCCACCGAGACCCCCCCCCCCTCCTCATAAGTGGACTATAGACGAAAAGTAATGAAACCTTAAAAGGTCTATCAATGTTAAAGTTCTAAAGAGATGTACAATTACACGTTTCCTGTAAATTGTACACACATCCCGTATTTAAACATGTCCTCATAAGTGGACTATAGACGAAAAGTAATGAAACCTTAAAAGGTCTATCAATGTTAAAGTTCTAAAGAGATGTACAATTACACGTTTCCTGTAAATTGTACACACATCCCGTATTTAAACATGTTTGAATAGTAGAATTACCCACAAAAACAGTTAAAATACATCATACATGTACGTTAACAAACATAGTTGTATCAATACAGGTTGTATGTAACAAAATACAGTTCTAACTTGTAAAACTATGGTCAATTTACCAATTATTTTACAGTAATCCCATGTTACCGCACTAATACAGTAAATTTATATTATAAAAATATGCAGTGGTATTTTAACAGCGTTACGTTAAAGAAATTACATATTTTTCACTGTAATTTTACATTTATTTTTAACAGTGTGGCTTGGATACAGTTTGGATTTAAACAGTTGTCCATTTAAAATTAAATCAATAAATGGCGGACCAAGCTAACGTTTACCGTTAGTCGCTGATGTTACTACCGAAAACTGGTGATGAAAGGCCTGCCAAGCGAGGCTACCATAGCCATTGAGCATGTTACTTGATAATTGAGAGTTATCGTCTGTCAATCAAACGATCGCCAATTCTCATAGACGGTGCAGACACAAATGATGCCTATTTCTAGTCAAAACTCCCCACAGTGACAATTCCGTTCAGAACAAAGTAATCTGACTGAATTTTTCAACTTTTTTATCATCTATTTTTGAATTATTATAGCAAGAATGGCCAACCCCTTATAAAACTCTTAACTAATGTATCTTTAATGAAATTCATACCATTAATCTGTCCACAGAAACTGTGCTAAACAGTCACTGAAGAACTGTGGGACGCTATTGAACCCCCGTTCGATTCAATTCTTCTTTATATCATTATTGAACGCCTTACTTAGTAAAGGAAATAAGGATGGGTTTGTCTTAAAGTTAAAACTCATTTCATTTCATACTTTTCTATTGCTATATGCTGTAAAAATGCAATTTTCAATAATTACCTAATGACATTTCGCATATTACGGTACCCATTCATTCTAGAGATATTGCAACATTGCTCCTGACGTTAAAAATCTTCGTACAGACCATTGTATTGATTTTATTGCGTCGCATTTTAATCGTTTACCCTGAAATTTAATCACGTATTCCCTATAATGCCAACAGATTTGATCTGTCAGATTTGAACCAATCAAGACCCGGGTACTTATTTTGCATTAAACCCGGCTTTAATTGCCACTATTTCAGTAATTCGAGCGCTATTAAGAGTGAAAAAAATCGCTGCATTTAATCTAAAAACAGACCATTTTCATTAGCGTTAATGATTTTTTATAGTCGTTGGCTGAGACGACCATGTCCTATGGTCTAAAACTTGTCAAGGCATCCTAGATATTCCGGGCTTAATAAAACAAAGGGTATATGCGAAATATCGATCCCCGTTATTAAATAAAGTTTCATGGAGGACGACGTTCTTATTTAACGAAGCAGGGAAAAACTATAATAGAACAGCACTTGAGATAGACGAGATTAGAGTAGGAATCAGTATATGTGATTTAAAAACAAAGCACTGAGCGTCCGAAGAAATGTCTTTCTTATATTTCAATAAAATCGACATATAAAGGAGTCAAGATTCTTATAAAAGATCAAGGCAAGAAATATTGTTCGAGCTATAAACAGCCAATGCGAGTTGAGAACCAATTGTCCCATAGCAGAAAATGATCTGCCCACGATATTTTGGTTCAGTGTTGTGGTGGGATATTGAAGCTAATCTAGAGTACTATTTCTCTTACTGTCATGTGGACAACTTATGATCTTTTATTGTCATCTTTAAGAGACTCGAATTCATCAGTTATTGTGCGATTATTATTCATACGTATATTGTCCTTCTTAATTAATTAAAGGTAAGTTCTTTTCTTCCTAGCTTTTATTACAACACTCTCACTGCACAAAACCTGTATATTACAGGTCAGGGAAGCTGTCAGATCAATATCCATGGACAGCGTTACACTATTTAAGTGCATAAATGTTATGTTATCTTAAAAAAGTGTCACAGGGCTGTTTGATTTTAAGAAAAGATATTTTATTTTATTTGAATTTTAAAGAAAAAAATATTCCCGTTAATTTGATTTAAAGGCCTTTTTAAAAAAAAGTTCTCTAGAAGTTAAGGTTCTTTGGTGCTAATGTGGTATTATTCCCCATTAACTTTTTAATTGAACACCATTAAGATATGAGATTACTGAAATTTCCTACAATTAGATTGAAATTGGTTATTTAAGTTTTGTGGTTTTAATTGACTACAACCTATGGTGGCACTGTCAATGGGATATGGTTAATGAAAATGACGAGGAATACTAACTTCAGAAATAGACTGGTGCCAACTATAGTTTCGTGTTGTTTACAAAACGAATAATACAATGCTTTCCATATACACCGCTTGCTGCTTAAAAAATAATGTAAATATGTATTTGGACAATTAGAATATATCGCACTGTCGAGACATGGCGGTCCCGTAATTCTGTGATGACCCTTCAGACAAACGTATTCACAAATCCATTGGATTGAAACATAGTTATAAGAGCAATCGAATAATTATGTAACAATTACACAATATATTTTTAACAATAACACACCAATTAAAGATACATTAGCACAAAAGTATTTATCGGGTAGTTATTTCCAATTTTGGTATGTGAAATCTTACTAGAAAAATACTAGATTCCCCGAAAAACACTCATGGGGCGAGCACAAGACAAACATGTAAGGGTGTCCTTAACCGATAGCCTATCAGCTCGGGTTAGGTAAGTAGTGCTTCTTATGTGTTGATCTAATGCCTAACGGCGGTAAAGAAGTTGACCTGATAATCCAAGAATTTAGTTAGGCTTCGATATTTGAGGTAAATGGACAGCGACTAACGACTAAGCTAATACAAGCCAAAAATAGATCCCCCGAGTCATATCACGTGACAAACAAAATCGCTTAAACATAATGGGGTACTTTCCTTCCGATTCAAATGGTTTGAGAGGGAATTTAAGTAAACTTTGGATGGACAATTTAGTTTGAATATGTGTATAGTCCAAATATACTATCGGGGATCATGTGGCTAAGTGGGTAAGACGCTAGCTCGCTAGCCTGGAGGTCGGGTGTTCGATCCCTGCATTGGCCGAGAAAGTTCATCCAGATTTTCCGGCGTGGTTCTCCCTTGTCAGTGATGCAGGACGGAGGGGCTGACAAAGAAAGCTGTCTAGTCGTTCGGATGGGACGAAAAACCGAGGTCCCGTGTACACATTGGCGTGCACGTAAAAGATCCTTTGGCAGTTGGAATTCGATATAAGAGTAGGCCGTAGTGCCGCTATCCGGGCAAAATTTCACTGTATGGCGTATGCCCGTCTTCATTAGCCCAGGTTAGGAGCAGAACAGTAGGACGTTAAACCCCATTTCATTTCATTTCCAAATATATTATCAAATCACGCGGGAATGCATCTTTAAGTTCATAGTTGCCGTTATAGTTTGCATCGAAATTCGTTTTGCATTCCTTTTATTTTTAATTGCAGTGTCTGCAAAAGGGGTTTTATCTTTGTGATTAATTCTCAAGACTTTCCGAAAAGCATTCTAGAAATCTTTAGAGTATCTAAATCTGGTTACACATTAAATAAACACAATTTGTAGAGATACAATTAAAAAAATGGCCCATTTTAAGAAAGAAACTCAAAGATTCAGAAATATGGGAAGGGGATGCAGTGCTTAATTCTGTTTTACAGGTAACAGGTTTCGCAAGTCCGAAAGATATGTATGTTAATCTGATGGCCCACATTCAAACACCAAAGGTAATATTCTAGATTTGTATTATTCCGTTAGACCAATGGATTTTCGGACCAGTGGATCAGAATACTGGCTGACCAACAGAGACCAGCAATTATCTTGAATATGAAAACTTGAATAAATATGTATACCGTAGTTTAATACCAACTTCTTTCGAGGCATTTGGACCTCATCGGGTGCTTGATAAACAGTCCACAATTCTGTGAAATACAATTACTGCTTATTACTGAGCGACGTTTCGACCAGGCTTCTCTATCAAGCAATGATAAAATATGAGAATATAACAAGTCAATATATACATGTACACAACAATACTTGGTTAATGCTGACCAACCAGAGATACTCTACTAATTACATGTATCTAATAAAGAAGACCTAACTTGGCTACGGATTAAAAAAGTTTAATGCTATTAACAACCATCAATATGGCATGTAGACCACTTTACCTAAAATTAACACAAATTGATTAATGGATAACTTGTTGTGAAGTATATACAGGGATTTGATCTGGTGTTAATAATCACGAACTCAGAAAGAGGATAAAATTAGATTAATGATACCAACGACCACTTTACCTTAATTTAACATAACTGATTAATGGGTAGCTTGTTGTGGAGTATTTACAATGATTTGATCAGGTTTTAATAAGCACAACGCCCTAAAAAGATGAAATTTCATTTATATTATAAACGAACAATGTTGATATATGCATTTTGATGTAAGTGATTCCACTTAAATACGACAAACCCCTTAGAACAATGACTGCACAAATCATCAATGGTCCCCTGAAGGCCGACTCTTTGAATTGATGGGTAGCATTTACATTGGATGCTATAGTGATTTATAAAGGCAGGATTTGAACTATTAAGCGCATTGAATTTCAGTAACAGCAGCCCTGAAACGCAAAATAAGAGCTAATTATTAAATATTATTTTAAAAAAGGATTATTGTAATCATTACAAAATTTAGATTATTCACTTGAATAGTGGTGAGAATATTGTTAAATGTTAAATATTGATTAAATAGAAATTATTAAGCCTCGCCTATGATTATCCAATAAGGGTGTCATACGCCCTGGGGAGGAACAATCCTTGATCTCTGTTCATCGTTGGTTTGACGTGTCTTCGTATATGAATAGCTTTGTGCAATCGACGCGCTCTCTTGTTGCTTATATATAATATATATATATATATATATATATATATATATATATATATAATAAAAGGTTATAGTTAAAGCTACTCTTAGGTGTTAGATATTCGAAATAAAGATGTTTTAGGAAAAAATACTAGGTTTTTGCGAGTACTTTCCGCTTTATTAAGCTTCTTCAGGCAAATTTTACCAATTCCAACAATTTGCCTGAAGAAGCTTAATAAAGCGGAGAGTACTCGCAAAAACCTAGGTTTTTTTTCCTAAAACATCTTTATTTCGAATATATATATATATATATTGCTGGCACTGAGTTCTTCTCACGTTGTACATGGCAAAATGGGCGGCATCACGGAATTTCTCCCACGGTTAAAAGATAATGTGCGTGGAAGTTAACAAAAGTGCTCTTCCATAGCTTCCATATCCAGACATGTTTCCTTTGTTACATATAATACCTAATAAGATTATGCAAGTAATCAGTGTTTGTCTCCTCCTGATTGTAACGCATTCGTCTGTTTAGAAACAAGGATTAGCATGGCGCTAGTTTATTGGATAGGTACCACAATAACAAAATATGTATAAGTCTGGCATCCTTATGGAATGTCATCCGTCTTGGCTAATAAAACTTATAGGGCTGAAAAGATTTGATTTGTATATTTAATTACGCGTTGATTCCTTAAAAGTATACTTCGGTCGATTTAGATGGATTCGACATACCAAATACCGCCCAGCCCCATCCCCACTGTACATTGTTTTAACAAGAAGTAGCAGCACTCTGGACCACAATCCAAGCATAACGTCATCATAGCCACTGTGACGTGATATCAAACACCGATGCGCAACTGTCAATGGAACGAGCATGCCAGGTTTCATGTCGACCGTTTTACTTGAATTGGTCTTGGGTGTTTTCCTAACTGTTTCTAAAAGGCAGGAAAGAAATGATTCAGGAAGGCGTGAATGGATGAACACTTTAATTTAATGTTAGGCTTGTTATTCTGCTCCCGAATCATCTGCGCTTGTCTTTCTTAAATAATTTGTTGATTTTGGTCTGTTGTGAAGCCCTTTAGACATACGGTTACGTTGTTGAAAATTGGAATTTGCAACATACAGGTATAGTTTGGAAGAATTGTCAGTCAAAACTATCGGGTTAATATGAAACTAACCGTGACAGTTAACATGAACCTTACCAGGAGGCAATTATTTTACTGATTCCATCTATAAATCCCATGATTATTAATTATTAAACGTTTCTAGATGGCTCTATTTAATAATTTTAGAACACATCTTTATCTCCATTAGTTGGGTACCCAGTTAACAGACAATGGACACGTTACTTGCCTTTAAGAGGGTTACATGTTCCTCTTCACAATTTATTACGTTTCCTTGTTTTACGACAGGTGGCAATTAATTAGTACTAATGTAAAAATCGCCAAAGTAGATATAACGGTTATGGTTTTCTACACCGAAAGGTAACTCCACGTAAACTAAAAGTGGTAAAACGTCATTGTTGAGCGTTACAGGTCGAACTTGCTGCTGGCGTCAATGAACAAACAAAAAAACCGCACCATTTACAGCCTTCCTAGGGTATTTTAACATTTTTAAAAAAGGACACAAAAGAGACCAAATCTTGCTTGTTTTAGATAGGGCTCTTTCTTTTTCAGAAATCATAGGTAAAATATTAGAGAACATTCGTAAAGAGACTAGGGTTAGGGTTCGTTTCTGAATAACCCTAATAAAGATTATCTCTTGGTTAGATCCACTCTTTATCATAAATCCCGTAACTACGCAGTAATGGGTTAGTATTCATAAGTACAGTATTTTCGAGGTGATCGGGGGGTTGGATGGCTGAATGGTTAGCGTGCGATAGCTGTATCATAAAGTCTGTCATTGAGTCGACTGGCGTGGTTTCGAATCCCCGGTTGTACGTGACAAG